CTTGAAAATATTTTTAAGTGAAAGGAAATTTTAAATAACCCTAAGTGTCAAAGTTTCAAACTTCTACATTTTTCCTAACCTCAAAAACTTCTAACGAACGGCTACGGTGAGAAACCCTGTAGAATGTTAATTTACCTTTTCAAGTCTTTAATTATGCAGATAAATAATAATATGCAACATAAAATTGTAAAAAAATAATTTAGGCATAACTATATATCGTTGGAAAGGATTAAACGCCAGCATTTTTTAAGTCCATAGCCAACTATGATTTCCATTTAAAAAATTATATTTTTTATTATTTCTAACAAAAAGAGCAAGCATAGAAAAAAACTGACTACGCCACTGGATTGTGCTTAAAAAAAGTGCCTTAAGAACGTTTTTACAGAATTTTATCATTCCGCGAAATAAAAAAGTTATGGGCAATTTTCCAAATGGTAAAAATTCAAAAAGACCAGGCGGTTTACGCCATTAAACGTGTCTCAGAAATCGAGCCCATAACATCTATGTCGGTTTTCCTCTATCTAGTCAGGAAATAGGTTTTCTCTGTTAAAACAGACCACCCTGTACACCTATATCTGTTGAGCCATACTAGTTTTTCTATTGCGGCACATTTGGATGTAGTTTTTTTCTTGTTACGTTTGCACTTATTTACGAATACATACGTAAATAAATAATATAATGTAAATAATCCAAAACATGCCTAAACGAAATACATTGACACCGTTTTTGTTGTTTATTTATATTTAGATGTGGTTCACCTATATTTTGTATATTATTTTTCCATTCTAATAATAACTAAGTAGTTTTGTAACTTCCTCGTGTGGTATCTTGGACTGCATGTTACTAAAATACAATAAAAAACTTAGAGTTAGCCTCATAAACAAAACTTAAAAAAAATAACTGACAAATTTTACATGTACAGGGTGGGTCAAATTCGACGCTTTTAAATGGAAGCACCCTTTTCAATAGGAGATAGGCGAAAACTAATATCGGTGCCTGGAGCTCAATTTTTATCAAAAACATGACGGTGAAAACCGCACATCAATATCTGTTACCGTTTCGGAGTTACGGGGTGTTTTTCAAAAATGTGCATTTTTGCTATGGAAAATTTTGTATTTCCATGAAAACATTTCCAAAGCACCTTTTTACGTAGAATTTAATGGTTTAAGTATAATATTTTTAAAATTAATAATTTAAGAGTTATCAATAGAAAAATTGATATTTTATTTGGGACACCCTATATATTTTTAATTAACTGAAAAGAATTTAAAATTACCTTTCCAAAAATATAGCACACTTGATATTTTGTTATAATCCCCTTCGAAATACAGAATTTTTAAAAGTTCGCCACTTTTAACTAGTAGGCCTTGGACCCCTTATTGATGATATTCCCTTAATGGAACTCGAAAACATATTTTTGCAGCAAGACGACGCACCGCCTCTGAATGCTGAAATTATCAGCAAATTTTTGCAGCCAATTTCAAGAATATTTGAATAGCTAACCAAGGTCCCAGCCGTTGGCCGTCGAGGCCGCCTAACTTAGTGCCCATGGATCTAATCCTATGAAATTGAAAATGATATTTGCGGAAGAATAAAGGTTCCTTATTCTTCCGTATAATCTAGACAAGAATTAGAAATACTTAGCAGTTATGAGAGGGTATCTTTCACCCCGTCTGAGTTAATGAATTCCGCGAGAAATGTTCAAACACTGCCCCGTTTGTCAATAACAGAAGACGGTCGATATGTCGAACACTTGTAGCAAAATCTCATGTCTTAGTTTGCTATTCATTTTTATTGTTATTAGATATAGTTTAAATGTGTTGATGTTGGTTAAATATATTTTCAATTGTTATAAAATTCTGCATCTCATAGCAAATATTATTTTCGTTTTAATTGATGCTCACAGATAGAATTTTTTAGCATTACAGCCGGTGCCGTTCAAAGCCTACTTATTTAAAGCGGGCGAATTTTTATAAACTCTATATCTCGAAGAGGAATCGAGCAAAATATCAAGTGTGTTATATTTTTGGAAAGGCAATTTTAAATTATTTTCAATAAATTAAAAATATACAGGGTGTCCCATATAAACAATCAAATTTTCTGTTGATAATTCTTAAATTATTAATTTGAAAAAAATTATACTTAAACCATTAAATTCTACGTAAAAAGGTGCTTTGGAAATGTTTTCATAAAAATACCAAATTTTGCATAGCAAAAAAGTTATAGCGATTTGTTAAAAATGCATATTTTTGAAAAACACCCCGTAACTCCGAAACGGTAACAGATATCGATATGCGGTTTTCACCATCATGTTTTTTACAAAAATTGAGCTCAGACACCGATATTAGTTTTTGTCTATCTCCTATAGAAAAGGATGTTTCCATTTAAAAGCGTCGAATTTGACCCACCCTGTACAGGGTGGACCATTTTGGTTGTCTCTATAGGGTATCTAGGAAACCGGGAGAAATATTCAAATTTTGATACTGCAGTCTCGGTTTTTTTTAAATCACAATGATCGTGGCTGTCTTCGAATCGGTTTCGAAGCTACAGGGGGATTCTCAAATTTTGTACTTTTTGAAGATGCTCGATAGTTTGTTTATTTCAGCAACCACTGAAAAATGAATTATACATTCTAAAGGCATTTTTCTGTGTAGAATATAGTGGCGTAGTGCGACTTTTTAAAAAAAAAATATTTTTTTTTAGATATTAACTATACCTATGTTTTTTTTAAATAGAACCCCCTGTAAATCCCAAGAAACTCAAAAATTTTAGAATAATTTTACATTATAAAATGACAGCTATCTTTATTTCATAGCCATCGCTGATGCATTTTTTTCTATGATATTGTATTATTTGCAAATATAATTTTTCGAACATTGATACTTGCAAAATATATGTACATATAAATTTTGTGAATGCAAATAATAATACATCACTATTAGTATATATTGAATGTTTTTTGTTAAATTAGATCGAATTTCAAACCCCAAAATTTAAAATATATTTTACATTTTACCCATTATCTTATGTACCTATTCATTATTTGTATATTGTAAAACATTTGCTGCATTTGTATGGTTCATAGATTATTTGCCAAAGTATTTATTACTATAAATAGGTATATATATTATATTTATTAACTGTATATTATGTATATTTCATGTAAACTATATCATTTTTAAAATACAAACCAAAAATACGAGGAATGTTTTCGATGTATTCTACAACATATTTATTAATCCGTATCTAATTAGCGTGACGTCATAAATCTCGCTCCGAGGCTGTTCTATTAGAGACGGCATTGGTCTGATATTTAGAAATGTCAAAAGCTGATGACATTTTACTTTTGACAATTATGCCATTTCCTGTTGATTTTTGCAAAAAGAGGATGTTTTCGATGTATTCTACAACATATTTATTAATCCGTATCTAATTAGCGTGACGTCATAAATCTCGCTCCGAGGCTGTTCTATTAGAGACGGCATTGGTTTGATATTTAGAAATGTCAAAAGCTGATGACATTTTACTTTTGACAATTATGCCATTTCCTGTTGATTTTTGCAAAAAGAGGAAGAACTGTCACTTGTTTTATCATTTTCCTTTTCTATTTCACGAAAGTAAAAAGAGTTAGCTATGTGATTCTTTCAGGCACTCAATTTAAAGAATGCTTAAAGAATATCAGTAACATTTTTCATAGAGGGATTTTATATTTGCCGTGTTGGTAAAAAATAACGGTCAAAATTCAAAGTTATTCATTTTATAGACTATATTATGTATAGTCGATTTTCCGAAATCAAATGTCGATTAGGGTTCACTAAAACTAGTTTTAGTTTAGTTTCTTCAATTTTGTCATGAAACAGTGGCGTATCATTAATTCGCTCATTAATTTATGAATCATTAATTGTCGTGCTGGACAGCATTCATTGCGAACTTACCATCAGGTTCAGCATTGGTCTGATTGTACCAAAGATGCCGAAGAATGGGGTTGGAAGAAAACAAACACAGGCATTACTCCAGTCACAACGTTGAAAGAGCCAGCTCCAAAATCCCTATTGGTATTTTTATCCTGTAAATGCAAAACCAACAACTATGATAAAGCCTGTGGATGCAGAAAAGCAGGATTAAAATGTTCAATGATTTGTGCATACTGCAATGGGAAATCCTGTGACAACGTCACTGAAGTGTCACTCGACGAATCCAATGAAGAGGAGTTGGACTTACCTGTAGATATCCCTCTGGCGGCTGAAGATGAAGAGTTGGGCGTATTGAGAGACCACCCTGATGAGCCCAGCAGAGCAGACACGATCGACTTTGACATTAATGATCCGTCGGGCTTGTGCAGATAAGTTAAAGTTCTTAATTTATCTAGTGGAGTAGGCCTCCGGGGAAACCACGTTAAAATCAACGCGCCATATACTTTACCTCTTGGGTGATATGGAAACAAGTTCACATTTTCAATAATTAAAATTAATTAGTCATAAATTAATGAGAAAATTAACGATACGCCACTGTTTCATGACAAAATTGAAGAAACTAAACTAAAACTAGCTTTAGTGAACTCTAATCGACATTTGATTTCGGAAAATCGACTATACATAATATATCATATTTTACGCAAAATTGTAAAATTTCCAGGGATTTTGTGCCTAAACGGTTGACTTTAGCGAAAATTTTCATAAAACCTTTTTTATAGAAAATTTTATTCTTTTTAATTTTGCTCTCCTCAAATTTTCGCGAAAAATGCACAGTTTTCGAGATACTCACAAAATACCGATTTTTGGCGCCGTCTTGGCAAGATGGCGGCGCCGGGGCGGCAAGTCTGGAAATGTGCATTTTATAGATTTTAGGTAGAGACCCCAAAACCTATAAACCTGCAAAGTTGCAAAACTTCCGGACTTTTTTCCAAGAAAAAATCTCCTATAACTGAACTAAATAGCAACGCATGCATATTGTCACTGATTAACAACAAAAGTAATAATTTTGTGCGCGTATTGTTGCAGAGATTCGCTGGAAGGTCCGGCTGGCATGTGACTTTTGGGCCTAGGCCGGGCCGAGGCCCACCAGACGACCCCCCTCAGTCCCCCCACCGCGATGCATGCCGTCCTTTGCCGTTCCTGGCCGCTACTCGTCTTATCCTGCCTGCTGCTAGCACTGTCCATAGATTATTCTATCGGTAAGTACCTTTCAAATGTTGTATTTTTATGTATGCTTGGATAAACCCTGTCCCAAAAAGTCATGATTTTTTTAAAAAAGTTAAAAGAATCGATTTTTTTTTATTTTTTCCATAGCAACTGTTAAAATTGCCTTATATCTATCAAAAATCGTAGATAAAATAATACTTTAACTGCAAGGGTAGATTAAATGATACTTTAACAGCGAGGATAGGTTAAAAACTTTATTTCTTGTTGCACGTTTTTTAATTGCTTCCATTTTTGAAAATTTTTGTATTCCTTTTCGTAAGTTAAGGCCTGGTTTTTCTGACCAGATCGACCCGAAATATTTCGGTGATATAGCACGAAAAGTTCGTTAGCGTTTCCTGCTAAGGATGCTTGTCTAGATCGGAACGAAATTTCGGGAACGTATGCGGACAGCAGTTCGTCTGTATCAAACTAGTTTTGATTTGAACGATCTCAAATCGGCGTAGTTCGCCGAACTTGTTAGGTTAGGTTAAGGTTGTGAAAAAAATTGTGAATTTCGGCGGATTTATTTTTATAAAATTACTATTTACAGTATGTGTGTGAAGTGAATCAATAAATTAATTAAAATTCGAGTGTTTATTTCTCGAAAACATATTTAGACCCGTCGATTTTCTTTTCTTGTCACGCATTTGAATAATAAAATTATTCACGGTGTTTCTAAAAAAGTTGGGCTGTTTATTTTTTCTTTATGTAATTTATTTCATTCTTTATGTAATTTAGTACAGTATGGAATAGTTGTGGAGTTAAACGGAAAAATTCTTTGAACTTTGTATCATTATCCGAAAGATGCTTTAACACTAACAGTTTGTAAGCACCTTCTTTGTCCCTATTCTCAAACATTTTCAGAACTCTATTATGTTCAGAACATACTTCTAATAACGCATAGTACTCATCATCATCATCCTGTTCTTCTTCTAAAATCATAGCGATAAAAAATCCATTTAGAAGCGTAAAAAGAACCTAGGTACGTACAACGCAACATTTTAATGATTGAATAGACCGAACTGAAATACCTAATCATAACGAATTTAATCTCCGACAAACCACACGCAGACGAAACTTCGGAACGAACTGAGTTCGGTAAATTAGAGCGTTCTGTACGGAAATATTCACCGAAATATTTCGGGCCGATCTGGTCAGAAAAACCAGGCCTTTATTCGGGATTTAAATGGAAGTAGTTTGGATATGGCGTTTGTCGCCTCAGCCTGAATATCTGTTGGTAATTTACTTATTTCGTTTTGAGCCATTTCTGGATCCAATTCAATCAGCAATCGACACGAAAGAGAATTAAAAAATATTGACTCAAAACTGACAACTAAAGGAACAGCTTTATTTATTTGTCAAATTACATAGAAATAAATTCCTTGAAATAATAATTTCTGAATATTTTTTAAAACGTAACTCGCTATGGAAAAAAATATTGTTTTATAAACGACAATAAAATTGCATTATCGTCTCCCGAAATTAATTAATCTTTTCGGTCGATAAAAAATAACTATTAATCAGATTTTTATTTTAATCGGATTTTTTTTTTATTTTAATCAATTTTCAATTTAAAAAATCCTATCCTAAATGGTCAAATCTCTGTAACTCTGCTCGATATTGACAATATTAACATTTCTACGGTGCGTTGTCATTTTTCCACATCGGTCACCGATATATTTTATTCTGTAAACTTTGCCAATGCCCCTATTTCCGCAAAAAAAAAATCGGCCGCTTAGATCAAAGGGTTTTTTTTTGGAAATAGTCATAATTGTCTTAAGTCGAGAATAAAATTAATACTAATAATAAATAATGTTCAAAGTACTTATTGCAGAACAAAATGTCGATAGAAATTTGGAATGAACTAAAGGATAATTTAGGAAAGGCGGAAGTTAGCTTGATCAACAAAAAAGGTATAAAATAGCCTTGACTCCAGCTTGTCTTTTTACATTGATTAGTCCTTGGAAACAGAACTGGGAATAGATTAACCTGGCATCAGAAGAAACTAGTTTTGAAATTTGGCAATAGAGTTTGCGAATGTAATGTATTCAAATACCGGATTTTTGGCACTTCTCAATTTCAAAATAAATCTCTGCCATTTTGAAGTGTAATGGATTCACACGAAATAACCTAAAAAATCGAATATATTTTAACAGATGAATAGATATTAGGGGTATGTGTTATATGTTATATCCCTTACAATAATTATTTTTCGATCTATTAAAGTATTTAAACGTTACAATAGCAAGTGTAACTTAGTACTTATTTGATGAATAGATATAGGGTATTTGATATAGGAATGCTTTTTTATAGCTTTTTAGGAAAAAATTTTATAATTTTTACAGTTATCTTTCGATTTATCATTAGTCAGTGGCTAGAAATGTTTATTATGCACTTATTGAGTCGCACCCTTTGAATAAGAAGACTAAGGAAGGAGCATATAAAAAATCTTAGGTACACCGCGATGGGCCTCAAATATGGCCGACTTAAATTCCGGTTTATCAGTGTCGTTCTAATTTTATTTAAAAAATGTAAAACTATGATGTAGGGTAGACGTGGGGTAGACTCAATAATTTGTTGTTTTATTTTACGTTGTGAATAAATGTTGGTAGTTATTAAAATTGTTATAAAATATATAATTCTAATAAAAATAGATAAGTTATAATAAGTATTTATTAACACAAACATCCGATACGCTACTGAAGCATGTAAGTCAAATTAACGTATCTAAATTCTTTGACATCTAATCTTTGACAAGCAATAAATAAAAGCTAAAAATGCAAGAAAAATATATAATTTAGTTAATTTAAGTGAATTTCATAAATGATCGGTTTACTACACGTATGTATATTATATAGTCACTTACTAGCGAAAAGTTGTTCCATTATTTCACTCAATTTTTGCCGAGATCTACCGCACGCTACACAACCAACTATTTTAGAGTCTTTTTCGATAAATCGCGATAGTGTCACTGTTAATTTAAGTGCTGCCACAATTTCCATCTAGATTTACTACCTTTATGCAACTATCAGTATTAGAATAAATAATAAATAACATAAAACAAGCTCCGTAAAGACTGACAAATCCACAAAATTTCAAATCAAATTCAAATGTGTCAAATGAATCGTCAAACAGAACTGTCAAGGATCCCCACCCTAGAGAGCTTTTATGGTGCTTTTTCCGCCCACCATGCATGAATACATGGATAGCATTATGCTCCTTCCTTAGTCTTCTTATTCAAAGGTCGCACCTCAGATATGCCCTTCCATTCTGGGGTACGTGTTGTGCGACTCAATTTAATCGCATTTTCAAGCTCATGAATAGAGCTGTTCGATATTCACTGGGACTAAACAGCAGAAATTATCGCCAGGACTTTTAAAAAAAAATAAAAATATTAACTCTTCCTTCCTTATTTATATTTGAATCCATTTGCCTAATACGTAAGCATGTATCAGCTTCTCAAGAAAGGCCATCTCACACTTATCCACTCAGGAACGCGGAGCAAGATCTTTATCTACCTACCCCACGCTGAGAGTTAGTTAAAAGTTCAATAGTATACAACTCGCAACAAATGCACCTGCCATTTGAAATCAAATCCATAACATCATTTTCTTCATTTCGCAAAGCATTGAAATCTTATTTACTACACACAAGGCTTTCTACGCCGTAAATGACGTGACTTATATTTTGATAATCGAATTTGATCTTGTAAACACTGGTCTAATATTTGCTATTACTATATTTACTATAAACTTACTAAATATGTTTGAATCTTATTTTTATTTTTTATACTTTGACATTGTGAACATTTATAAATGTTTATTTTAAACAATAAGACTGACAATGTAATTTGTATACTTGTTTTGTATTGTATATTCTTTTGTTTGTTTACCTTTGTCTACAAATTGTAAACTTTTTTGACAATAAAGGAATTTATTTATAAGTTTTTAAACAACAGGGATCCAAACAGAAGGAATATTTTGTTGATGTTTGACCATCGCAGTCTTAAAAATAAAGAATTGTCTAAAAATGTACTAAAGTACCGTAATATGGGGTGGATAGGGACACTTTTTGAGCTTTTATATATCGCTACTACTAGGGATTATAACTTTTAGATTTTTTTACTGGAAAAGTCCTATTGGGTCTGCACTGTAAGAACACAAAAATATTTTTTTAAGAAAATTCAAACTTACCCTCTACTTACCCTATTTACCCTCCATTCTGTGAAATAGGGACATCCATTTAATTTTCACTTTGTTCCTGCTTAGCATGTCGTTAGACCAATAGGGACAACTTTAAATAAAAAAATATGTTTTATATATTTATACTGAAAAAACAGCACTGGACACAAAATAAACATTTATTCATTTGAAAATCATACAAATATAGAAAATATACCGAAATACACTTAAACAATTATAAGACAAATAAAAATATATACTTATTTTCTGTTATGTACTAGGTATTAGGTAATATGACCGTATCAATTTAGTTTCTCAAATGTTTGGGTGTCAATATTTTCAAAGTTAAATATTCCTCTGCGTTCTGACCATTTGTTTAGTTTTTTAATTATTTGGTGTGAAGTAAAGTCACTTCTGTCTTCAATATTTGGAAAAACGTATGTTTCCCAGTTTTTCTCTTGCAGAGGGTCTTTTTCGCAAAAATGTTCCATCAAAATGGATTCCATCTTTTTGGGTAACTTTTCCTATATAAACCCTTTGCTTAATATTTGCATTTTTCTTATCTACTGGAAATTTAACTAAAACCCAGTCTCCTACATTAATATCAGTTTGAGATAGCGTATCACTATATTTATTACAGGATGGTGATGGTGATGGTGATGGTGATAGTGATGGTGAAGTATCTTCAGGTTCCTCAAAGTCCATACTCAGATCACTTTCATGCTCATCATATTCGATATTATTAGCTGTTTCGGCATTGTCAATATTACTTGAAGCTGAGTCTGATTCCAAATCAAACTGGATGCTCTTTC